GGAAGGACCTACATATGAGCTGTGCAGCTCAAAATGGAGAACAGCCGTTGTGTCCTTGCTTAAGAAATACATGGTATCCCTCAACAACAATTTGGTATCTAAAGTAGCTGTGTGACAACTAAATGTTTTCACCCCAGAAGTGAAATTAAATTTCGTGATCAATATAAAAGTATATCGGATGAGATGAAGCTAATACGTTAAATGAATTTGTTTGTAAAGCAGAGAACACACCACAGAAACTTAAAGCTGTAGTTGATTTTTTTTATTCCTCTTAAATATATTCCGCTTGATAATTATAAATAGCCGGGTTTCTTAGTCTTTTCTGTTGTTATGACAGTTTTAGAGGCTTTCGTGCTCACATTAAAAGTTTATATGGAGAAAATGGGAAAAAAGAGAAAAGCGCCAGTTTGAGACCTAATTATGAAATCCAGTTTTGTAATTACGCTTGCGATAGGCAAGGGGGTTGCAATCGTGTACTAGACTTTCCTGTAAATAACTTTATTCATAGGACTCATTCACTCATCAATCTACTGGACCTTTTTGTTGCCACAGAGATATTTTAAGCAAGCATTTTAAATCTATGGCCTAATCGAAATTAGTTTTTTTATTTGGTTGTAAATTTACCAACTCGATTTAATAAAGTTTCAATTTTTTGTAACATTTTGTAGGCTCAATATGTTTCTATTTTTTTTATATCGCCTTGTAAGCCCCTCATTGCGTCGTTTGATGGTCGAAAAAAGTTTTTTAGGGGAGAAAGCACAATTTCTTTCATATTAGTATTTTTCAAATTTTTTCATCATGGTTTTTTGCTCAAGTTTTTTTCAGCTTTGTAACCGGTTGATAATTATAAATTCAAAATCAATGAGCCATCCACCACATCTGCCGGAGGGAGTAACACAACTGCTTGAGACGGAAAAGTTTTGTATTTCGAGTCCGAACGCGAGTTATTTTATTGCAAAGAAGAGTTTTTGTGATTTTTCGGACAAAAGTCCGCTGTGTATTTTTGTCGGCTTAGTTACCGTAGCACGACATTTTTGAAGGGTCAGTTTTCTTCCAAGGTGCTGTAACACCCATGCTTAGAAGGACGAAGCTCAGAAATTCGATTCCAGTCCAGACCTGTTTTTTTTTGCAAATTGAAAATTTTTGGCCAGTTTAGACTACGGTATTTCTGCTTATATTTGTCTGCTTAGTTCCCTAGAAAAAACTTTTTTTTTGAAAATTCGGCTTCTTTCTTTCTATTTTCTTGTGAAGTTTTTAATGGTGCGCGTATTTTCGTTCTGAATATTTTGTAGCAATTTTCATAATATTAATTGACAAAAACGTTCTATTGAAAAAAAAAATTCAGTTTTTTTTTTGTTTGATATTAATTACATTTTTATATCATTCATAATGAAAATTCATCTTTGTATCGCAAGTGGTGCAGAGCTCAGCTTCGCATCTTCCTTAAAATTTCTAGATTTATTTTTATCATTTAGGGTGGGGGTGCATAACCGAAAAAAGCCGTAAATTGTTCTGTTAAATGATACAATACGCTTTCCGTCAACCCTCATTCATAAGTTTTTTTGCGGTGCAGATATGGTTGAAAAACTGGGCATGTTTAGAAAGGAGGGATCTAGGATTTTCTCGAGGGTGGGCAGATTTTCAAAAAATTTTCGAAAACTTTTTCGACCTTTTTTTTAGGTCGACCAAACTGATTTCCGAGTACTCCCAGAACACTATAAAGACCAAAAAATTTGCGCAGCAGTCAAATTTTTGAAAAAAAAACAGGTCAAAAAAGACGTTTTTAGGCTCTTTTTGGAAAGTTTTGACCAAAAAGATACGTTTTTTGGCAAGCGCTCTCTTTCAAAATTAGTATATACTTGCGCCGAGGGCGCCTATAGAAAAAATTTGGTGTGGGTCGGCCTAAAATGGATGCCATCAAACAAAACTAAAGGGGTGACCCTTGGTTGGTGAGATCGTCAAATCCCTGATGGGGAAGAGAAAGCGTCCGCCTTCCCCCTTAAATCCTCCCCGATGGTTAGCCTCGAAGACATTAAGTTTAGTGTTTGCATGACATTGGCTTCAATTAGATGAAGTTGAAGCTACTAAAAGTAGCGATTAATGTGGAAGTGATTGAAATCGGAGCTTTGGTCTGTCTTTTTGATCACGTGCTTGAACTGAACTTTGTGTCACCGGGAATTTTTGTATCTGTTTGGTTGTTTACCTCAAGTAAATTAAAGTTTAATGATCACTAAAGAGATTTATTGGATTAGGTGAGTCTAAATATTTGCTATCATGGTCTCACCTTTAATGTCAACTTGCCAAGTTCAAGGCACAACATTATTGATAGCTTTTTGACCTCCAAATCTTTCTTTACATAAACTGTTTATTTGTCTACATCGAACCATTCGTAAGTCAAATAAAAGGTCAAGGCTTGCTCGAACAGTGCCGCCGCTAGCAAACATTTCGAAGATAGAATTGATTTCAAGCAATTATTTCAAACGGTCGCAATTATTTGGTCACGTTTTGGACTGCAGTTCAATGTCAGAATCTCAGGTCGAACTTTCACCTCTAAAGTAAGCTTAAGAGGAGCAAATAAGTTCCTATGAACCGCGTTTATCTTTGCAGCCAATGAAAACTTTCAGTAATTTCAGCCAGCATTCTGACGCTAACTATTTTCTAAACCAATTTTTTCAGCCAATCAGAATGCAGGAAACAAAAATATCAACAATAGCGTAAATATCCCAGAATGTTCCAATCTAATTGAAAAAAAATCCACTAGTTTTGGAGGTCAGCTTCTAATTCCTGTCTAATTTCTTATTTAATTTAGTCTGAGAAACAAAAAAATCATTTTACTGGGGTAAGGTTTTTTGAAATGGTCTAATAATGGGATCACACTTAAAACAGTTTTGAAATAGTGCAGGGGCGGATCTAGGATTTCTCGAGGGGAGGGGGCGGATTTTCAAAAAAAAATTTGAAAATTTTGTCGACCTTTGTTTAGGTCGACCAAATTGATTTTCTGAGCTCTCCCAAATCACTATAAAGAACCCATTTTGACCAAATTTTCTGCGCAGTAGGAAATTTTTTGAAAAAAAACAAGCAAAAAAAGCGTTTCAGGCACTTGGAAAATTTTGACCAAAAAATCGCGTTTTTTTCGGCGCGCTCCTTCCTCAAAAATTAGTATATATTGGCGCTAAATGCGCCTTTAGAAAATTAGAAAATTTTTAGGGTAACTAAAATAGATCTCTCAAATTAGTACAAAGGGGACCCTTTGGGTCGGCAGGGGGTCGAATCTCTGAAAGGGGGCGTCTCCCCCCTAAATCCGCTACTGAAAAAGTGTCTATGTTCAGCTGAGTTATCGAAAAAATTAAGAAAATTATCTGCTTCCCAATTTCCAAAGAATGACATAAAAGTTCTTTAAGTCGATACAGAAACATGTCTGTACAAAACAGTCCCATACAAAACAGTCCGATACAAAACAGTCCGAAAAACAGTCCCAATTAATATTTGTTTTAACAAGCCGGCAGGCCGAGAATTGTCCTTTCTTCAACAAACATAATGAATAAAATAGTGACCGCCACAGTCGCGCAAAAAAAGCAACAACAGCATGAAGAAACTTGCTCGGTCTGAATAAATCTATAGTTCAAATTCTACCCCTGAATAAACTTTTACAACCAATATTTTTGATCAAAGCTCCGAATTGAACACATTATTAAGCAACGGAACTTTTGCAAAGCTCCCCGTCCATATTTGTAGTTTTATTCTCTTTTTTTAAGCTGCAGGCAAGTTAAAAATTTCAGCTTGCCAGTCAGTTTTTAGCAAATAATCTGTATCAATGCATTATCTAGACTTACTTCTTGCTTGGCTCTTAAGAATTTGAGCTTTATTCGACCATTCGAATTTGAGCTTTAGAAATTTGAGCTTTAACCGAAATTAGGGTCCAAAATATTAGTTTATTTATGATTTGGAAACTAAATTTATTAGTTATGTGCGCCAATTGTTTTTGGAGAGAATGAATTATGGTTGCTTTTTCTATTATACCCAATTTCGGGGCAAATTTTAAAGCTAAAGATTTTTTGCTTCTAAATGAATCCGAATGTCTCTTTACCGATCATATATCCAGCCAATAAGTCCGCAAATTAAGTGCGCAAAACTGGAAAAACTATTTTGTCAGCTACATCAAAAGTTTTTGGTTTTCTTTAATTAGATCACGACTGTAGAGTACTCATAGTCGACCCGCGTATTTGCATACGACCTATTTTTGCAAAAGTTGGCATTTTTTATGGTCTTGATCTGTTCGAAGGGTATGGCCTTCCCTATTGAACAATGTTTCACCATCCTGAGAGCCCGGAAAAACTGCCAAATTTGTTCTTCAAAATTTTTGACAAGGGGAGAGGCCTTGGATCAAAGTACTCAAATAGCGACAGTTGAATCTCAAATTTTGACGGCTGCTTTGTCTTTATGGAATTGAAGATATAACTATTCAAGAATACTGGTCTAGTATTTGCCTGATTTGAAACAAATTGAAACCAAAATATGATGTGTATCCTAATAAAAATTATCCAAAAACGATTTTTTTTTTGAGTTTTTGTTAGTTTCCGGCTGCTCTATTTGTACAGACGAGTTGTTTGCTGTGTTCCGATTGGCGCGTTATACCGATCATGGTGTTTACTACATCGTTCGCTTAATTGCACATGCTTATTGACACACATGCTAATCGCTCCACCACCGCATAGCACTGGCATTTAACAGCATGTGTTCGATGCGCTTTATTGGGACTATTGTTTACATGGCGGAGTTGGAACAACATTAGACTCTTAGTCTCCGGTTCGACGGTTCGATACCAGCAGCATTTGGCTAGTTTTTTTATTAATCAAAGTTTTTCGCCCTTCTTTCAGATAATTTTTTTGCCGTTTTTTCGCTTGTGTTTGCTAAACGCAGCTTCGTCTCATTGTGAACAAAAGTAACGTATTGAAAGATCTTTTATTTGTAAAAAATACAAAATCGAAATATTGGTAGATTTTAGCACAGTGATTAAATATTTTCTCAACTAATTTGGGAAAGGTTTGAATATCTAAAATATGACTAAGTTCTAATGGATTTCAACTTGTATATCATATAGTTTAAATGATTATGTTATTTTCACTACGGTACTGCACTGGGTTTCAATATTATTTCAATTGATAGTTTTGTAGAAGCTGAAGCAGCGAAACAGTTCAAACGTTGTCATTTAGTGATATGAAAACGGGTCTGTTCAATCTGTCTCTAGTCAGAATCAGCCGAGATTTGTTTCTCCGACTCCTGGTGGATGACTCGGAAGAACTTGAGAAAGTAGTCTGAAAAGAGGAAGTACAACAACCTCAGTGTGAAGATGGTCTTTTTTGGACAGTAGGTCGTTTCGGTTCGGGTCTCGACCGCCTCAATCACTCGGCGAGCGGCTACTTTTGGCGGCAGGACGAACTGTCTGAACACGACGTTGTTGGTGATTGAAGTGACATTGCTCATGAATTTTCCGATGGCATTTGTGATGGATTCAGTTGTTACGAGACCTAAGAAAACCTGAGAAATTGTAATGTTGGATCTCCGTTCCAGAAGTTCCTCGCGATAGGACAGAAAAAAAGCGTTAAGAGCTGCCTTCGTTGCTGCGTAGGTATTGCTTTTGAACATGGGCACAAGTGCTGCTATGGAACTGACAATGCAGATTTTTCCACACGAAGCTTCTAGAAGGTTCCGGAACGACGATGCTATATAGACGTAGCTCATGTAGTTCACAAGAGTTTTCGATTCTAGGTCATCGAAGTCCTTTTCTTCTTTCCAATGCGAGTTTCCATTGAGTGACGGGAGTAGCACGTGATTCAAAATTAAAGTGTCAACTCTTCCCAACTTTTCTTGGGAGAAGTTCCGCAGAGCAGCTGCCGAGTCCCGACCTCCGAGTCGCTGCGAAAAAACAAAGACGTCGGCCGCTCCTGCGTTTCGGCACTCCTCGGCGACGCTCTCGAGGAGTCGCTTGTTAGTTGCGGAGATTACAAGCCGAGCATTCGCAGCCGAATACTGCAACGCAATTTGGCGCCCAATTCCTCGGGAAGCTCCAGTGATCACGATGTTTGAACCCTAAACAATAAGGAAGATATGAGAAAACGGTTTTGGACTCCTGCTACATAAAAATTGGACTACTGGTTTACTATAGTTTATAGAAGTTTAATACCGTTTTTTGGTACTTGCAATTTATTTTTATAAACAACACTCTTGTTTTTGTTTTTTACCAGCTTTTCCAGCTTTAAGGCTAGGGTTCTTTTGTTAAAATTGAAGGAATAAATTACCTGAACTGAGAAGTTCTTTTTCGACACTTTCTTCAGTAGGACAAGAATAAGCCACGTCAGCAGGATGAGAGGCAGAGCCGCGACCATGATCGACCATAGTGACGCCTCTTTCACGTCAAAAAGAGCCATAGTCATGGTCATTGTTAGACCATTAATGGTCTTCGAGGTATCGGTGGATTCAGTTTTCGAATTGTTCCAAAACATTTTTCTGTGTTTCCTCTAAATTAGATAAAACGAACTTTTTCGACGTATTGAAAGTAGCAAAGAAATATGTTTGCGTTTTTCTCGTATTTTGAACTCTACTGATTTCAAAATACTATTTACTTCCAATGGTATTATTGAGGGCGTTTTCTGCTGAGTAATAGTGAACTGATTTCTAGAGAGGAAATTGCGAAGTGTTTCTGGTAGCTCTGAATGAATTATTAAATAGTCTCGCGGTTGTATGCCTCTAAATTAAATTTTTACCATTCTTACTTTTGATTGGGCACGATCCTTTATATAGGTAGAGGACCTTATTTTTATTGGATGCGATTTCAAAATGGAGATATTCCATTTGCATAACCGACATCGCTGTTTGAACTTGAACAATCTGATAGATTTGAATGTAATTATTTCAGTACGAAAGGCGTCTTTTGTTTGATGAAATACAATACCTTTTCTCGGTTACGTACCAACCAATAGACAGGTCTGTAGGCAGACAGGTTGTAAGCAGACAAAACTTCCAATTTCTCTGCAAAACAAAAACCTGCATATTAATTCCAATTAACAAATACTTAAATTATTTATCTCATAAATCACTGAATTTGAAAAATTTCGGCTCGAAAAAAGTAAAATTCTGAGTGCTTTGATTAAATATTTCAAAATCACGTCTAATATCTTTTTTCAGCCAATCAGATTGGAATATTGTAAAGTTTGTCTTCATGCTGACTTGTCTGCTCGTGACCTTCACGTACATATAGGCCGCACACCCCTTTTGCGTAGTACGTGGTGGATGGTAGTATATTTGTAAGCACGACAAGTATGTAGTTCAATGTACTTAATTTGTATTTCAATGCTACGTTCCCTTGGCCGAAAAACATCCGCTACAAATAAGCCGATTTAGAAATCTTTTTTTTTTGAAGAAAACTTATAAAGCATTTCTACACTACATTATAATTAGTTTATTTTTTCGACTTTATTATTTTGTGAAAATTTTCGACTTACTGAATGCTCGTCCAAATTGAACGCCTCTTGAAGTGAGATTGAGACATAGTGCTCTCCCTGAGGTCGAACGGTAGACGAGCGATCACGTATAGGCGCGAAATTAGTTCATCAAAATTGGAGGACATTAAGTGGGAGAGAGAATTAAGTTCACTCAAAAAATATCTCGAGTGGATGCTTAAAAAATCTAAAATTATATGTGGTGATTACATAAAGGCACTAAAGAAAATGTCAAGCACAACAAGTAAGGAGTTAAAAATTAATATTTTTCTAAAAATATTTTTTTTCTAATGGATGCGTAAATAAACGAAAATAGCCATACAAAAACGTAGGTGTTTTTACTTATTCGCCCCCAAAATAACTTACCAACGCCAACGCGCCATTTGATTGTTGAACAAGTTGTTTAAATTATCTTCTAGCAACGCCGTCAACTTCAGCCAATGAAATTTGAGCGGTTAAGAAGCAGTAAGCAGACAATCGAGTTAGCTCACAGGTCAATAATTAGACAATTTATAAAGTTCAGGTGATTTTTGCCGAGCAAAAACTACTATATTAATTCCCTGACAGGGTCTTATGCACTAGACGGCCCAAAATCAGTGTTTCTACATCTTGCGCTGAAATTTATGCGGTCGAATTGAATTGCCTAATTTTAACCAAGCAAAGAAGGTCAGGCATTTCAATCAACATTTCCAGTAGATGAAAACATAAGCCGAAATTACCAACAACGTGAAATTCAATCCAACGAATTTTCGGTCACTTTTGAAATTTCGTCCAGCCAAAAAAAATTCTGTAAATTTTTTTCAACAGAACGAAAATTTTATGCTTTCGGTTATTTCGGCAATTAATTCATTTTATCTATTTGAGGTTTTAATTGAAATTCCATGTTATTTGAACCATGTTATTTGAAGTTTGTTGGCTAATTAGCCAATCAGACTCAACCAATATCAAGATGTAGCAAAATTGATTTTGGGCCGTTAAGTGCATAGGAAGCCCCTGACAATTCTAAATAACTTTTTGTTCCGACTTTCGAAACGAAAGTAACGGAATATTTGTGCTCGGGGTGGGTTTTTTTTTCTTCAGACAAATTTCGACTTTTTAACTAGCCATTTTTGACGGAATTTTTAAATATCATTTGAAAGGTATTGTTGTCCTGAGCTCAAACTTGAAAAGATATTTCACCTGTGATCATTTTTCGTAAAGTTATGGGGGTTTAAAGCTTGCCATTTTGACCAATTTGGGACAATTAACGCGTGGTATATTTCGCGCTATTACCGCGTAAGCGAATTTTAATCCGTCTTAGAAATCGCTCCAAATTGGTTTAACGAAGCCTATTTGCCATAAATGATCTGTTACAAGTAGCGAAATCTATCCTTTTGCACTTTATATGGCGTGTGGGGGGATGATTTTCATAAAAAATATCAAATTTTAGAAAAATTTTTTTAAATTATTTTTTAATGTTTTTACTGTTCCATAAACCTAAATAGCCAGTCGGAACATTCAGGGCTTCGCCCTGATACGAGCAGTCTTGTTTTCTTTCTCAACAATATCTCGAATGATTTCCAAACAAAAAGTATTTTTCCTATTAAATGTACAATTCCCCTCCTCGCCATCCAAATCGATTTAGGGGAAAAACTGGTTTTTCCTAGCTAACTTTGAGGGCAAAATCAACTGGTCAAAAGAATTTAAAAGCTCATCCAAAAATAATTTTTGGTTCATTAACTAAAATAGGCATTCCTTTTAAAAAAATTTCTCAAACAGTGTATTCTGTGCGCTTCTTTGAATTGAAAATTTTAATGCAAAATCAACTGTCAGAATTGATAAATGGCTAGGGGAAGATTCTACGTTAGGTCATTTAAGAGAGGAGACAGTACGGCCGATTCTAATTTTTTAACCTGCTCTCAATAAAATGTTGAAAGTGAAATTGGTGTTATTTTTCGGCAAATTAATTTGACTTTGTCTGGTTTGTCTGTTCTTTGACCTGTCTGCTTACTTGGTTGACTGCATAGTGGCTGCATACTTCTTCAGCGAGAGTTTGGGAGACAACACACTATTTTTTTTTGATGCAATCAAAGACCAAGAAAAAACTTTTAAAAAAATAATTTTTTTTTCAAATTCAGAAAAAATCATTCGGATAAAAGAGCAATTGAAGTAGTAAAGAAGCTACAAAATGGATTAAAATTGCTGAAATAGATTAAATTTTGCAAATTGGGAGCAAAGTTTCATCCATATTTCCGTTTAATATGGACGATAGGTTTTGAACTCAATACCGTTCTAAAGACGAACAAACATTCCTTGAGGTACCTAAAATTGTGCAAAAAAATCACTTTACGCCATATTTCTTTGCCGTCACGATCAATCACGCTGTCGGATCAACTATTAAATTTTAGTTATTGGTTAGAGAAAAGTTTAGTGAAAATCATTCACTAACAAGAAAAACTAGCATTCTCAATTATGAACAAAGACAACCGGTTGCTGTGCATCTAGCACAGAATGTTCTGACCACATTCATAAAAAAAACATGTTTTTTTTTCTGTTTTTTCTATATAAAGTAGTTTTCGTAAGTGGCGTGGTGACAGAACTATACAAACGCGTACAAAACTAGCGAAGTAAGCAAAGTCATAACAACAGAGATCTTCAAAAATGAAAAATAAACAAATTTGAGAAATTATTCAAAAAAATTCTAAAATTTTTTTTTTTGCACGATAATGTTTTTATATTTTTAGAAAAGATTTATCGCCAAAGGAGCCGTAAATGAAGCTTCCACAACTAGTTTTTCTTTTATTAAAATTTAACTCAGCTGACCAGTCTCCATCAATTTTTATACCACGAACGTTACTCGAATGCGTTACAAGCTTAAAATTGGACAAAATCTAAAAAAATTCCAAAGAGTTTTTCTCGATACTGAAACAGTTTTAAAAATTTTTGAACATTGTTCAAACCACGACTGAAAAGGCTTTATAATGATTCTCTTTCAACCAGTTCCGATGTTTTTTGGTACTTGATTTTGCATGGAAAGCAAAAAAAAGAAAACACTAAATTATCCTCGAATACTAAGTTCATCCCGATTTTGAATAGTCGGAACAGAAAATATATATAGAAATTACACGTGCCTAGAAATTTCAAAAATTGATGTCTGCTTTAAAAAAACTAGATAATTGATATGGGCAAGGATCAAAGCTAGCAACCAAAAATTTTACGAATGGAGAAAAATATCTAACTGAAAGAGAAGAACGAGGACAGAATTGGCATGCAAATACTTAGACAGAAAAAGAAAAAACAGGATATTTTTAGTTTTAGTGGATCAGCATCAAAAATGAATTCTGACTCAACCAAAATAAGAAAACTGTTTTCTAAGAAAGCAAAACGAACGGAAACTGTCACTTATTTTTGCGAGCGAAGAAAAATTATATTAGATATTCAAATAAAAGAAGAAAGCATGCCAAACAATGTTACCTAGATGCGAAGCACATGTTATTGGCTGAAACAATATCAAAACATCTTTTGGTTTCTTTTAGATCTAGAACCCATTCACGCAGAAATAAATACTTCTAATCCTCATTTTGACAATCTTGCTATAGAGTTGAATGGCGAATAAAGCCATAATATAGTGCCTTATTTAGATCACGATTAAGCTGCAGAAGATTTATCCATAGATACGGTTCACACATTAAAAATGAGGTGAGAAAATGGCTAATTGAATGCGGAAACTCACGGAATGACAAGATTGCTGGATTGCTTCAAACTGAATTTCAAACTTGCAAAAATTTTAAAAAATGAATGTACAAGTAGAATTTACTTTGAGGAAAATTTTTATATAATGTTTGATTTTTCGGATCAATTCATTACGATTTTTATAGACTTTTGAAGAATAAAATAATAAAGACATTTAAAAACTTGAATTGAGCGGTCGAGCTTCCCAAAAAAGTAAATTCTCCTTTCATCTGATTAGTTATCTTTTTTTTCCGACTTTCAAAAAAGTGAGAAATATATATGCCCGAGGTGTTTTTTTTATTCAGACCAGTTTTAGAAAATTTGACTGCGTAAGGCTTTGATCCGGAAAACTTGGAATTGCCAAGCGAGTATGTTTGCACTAGACTAACGTGCGTCTTTGCTGAGGGAATAATACTTTAATAATGTGAACCATATCCGCTCTCATAATCTATCCAAATTGATTGGTCTTATTGATTCCACAAACAACTCAAATTTTAACCCTTTGATATTGTCAGCCTAAAATTCGTAGTTTGCCTATATTTCATTTACCAAAAACTATTCGAG